ATAGTACTATAAATATATCTTATCATTTGTACCTTCAGTGTAGTTAGATCTTATCATTGTTGTTTATGGTTATAGGTACACAGGTATAGCTTGTAAGTTGTAATCTTGTCTAAATGAATTAGGTAGGTAGTTCCGAAACCTATACTGATGCAGTGATTGAGTGATGCTTCTGCATTCCAATCAAATTATTTATAAAACACTGTCAATTTTTTTTGTCCCTCCGAGGAATAATCACAATATCTTCCATTCCTTACGGCTTCTTGGCTTACTAATTCCAATTTATCCTAATCTTTATTTAAAAAAACATTTCAATGATTAAGTATAGGCTCACCTATCATTCCTTGTCTGATTTATCTATTATACTTTATATTGTTTAGATGTTACTGTATTGCCTGTATCTATAATTATTTGTATTTTTTTTTTATTTAACTTCACTTCGTTATATACATATTATTTTTAATTGCATCTGACCCGGCGACTTTTCCAAAAAATAAGCATTAAAAATATCAAAAGTTCCGGGGAAAATTATTTGTATTCAAACATTAAACATGTTTAAACTTGTACTTATCGATTAATAATTAAATTAAAGGTTGGAGGTGATTTCAGTAGTGCAGTTATCTATAGAATGAAAAATTTTGGACGTGTGTCAGTTTGTGGTTCAATTTCATCGTATAATACTAATCCAAAAAATTTACCAAAAGGTATATTTACGTTTCAATTGATATTGTCTACTAACTTTATTGAGACAAAAATTATTTTTTTTTAGTGTCAATGTTGCAGCCAGCCATAGTGTTTAAGCAACTAAAAATTGAAGGTTTTATTGTTAGTAGATGGGCAGATAAATGGCAAAGTGGTATTGAACGTAATTTAAATTTTATAAAAGAGGTAAGCTTTTCTTTAATTTTTCTGAATATTCTAAGTTATAACTATACTATTGGTTTTTCTTTTTTAAGGGCAAACTTATTTACCCAGAGTACATTGTTCAAGGTTTTGAAAGTTTACCACAAGCTTTTATTGGTATGCTGAATGGAGAAAACATAGGAAAAGCTTTGGTCAAAGTTTAAATTATAAAAAATCATACAATTAACATTTTTTTAGACCATGTGTATTTATATATTAATATTTATGATTCTGAATTTATAATACTCACGTATTAATATATTTTATTAAAAAAAAAACTTAATCGATACCTATAGGCTATCCAATATTATTTACTTTAATTAATAATTAGTATATACGTTGTTTCCGCATACAAGATACGAGCTTTTATCTCAGTTGGTAAATACGTATCAGCTATTATTAATGTAATTGATTTGGTTGAAATAAATTACCTAGTAGTTAATACAAACTCAATTAATAATTATCATCATTGAAATAGAGTAGAGTACTGCTAGACTCAGCAGCGTTTCCCAACCTTTTTCCCTCGCGGCACCCTAATCCCAACCCATATTTAGCCGCGGCACACTTGTCACTGACTTATATATGTATAGGTACATATTTTTTTTTATACTATAAAAAACTCGGGCCAGGCAATTCCTCAACATCAACTCTATGAGCATTATTTGGACCAGGCAATTCTTCGCTTAATTTACGTTTCTTAATTACAAAACGATCCATCGTGCGCCACACGTATAGTACGAATGATAATCGTAGAGCGAAAAGAAAATAAGACACGGTAATAAGAAAATTATATTATGTAGGTACTTCACAGCAGACGACAAACGACTAACTGACTTTTAAATTTTTTAATAAGAAATAGTGAACAATATCCCCGATAAAAGAATCGTTAAAACTATTTTAACCAATTGTTATCGATATTTTACGTAAACGTTTATTAATAGTCATGAAATTTCGCGGCACACCCAGATGGGCCTCGCGGCACACCGGTTGGGAAACCCTGTAGCTAGAGTATAAATAATAAATATACACTTTAATTTACCTATTTATGAATTATACATAAATTAAATATAAAATAAAAAACCCTCCCCTCTCACAAGTAAAAATCATATCTACGCCACTGAACACAGATACTTCTTAAAAATGTTTGTTTAAACACTTTAAACTTATTATCATTCCCCCAATATAGCACTAATAACATAGGTACAACTATTATAATTCATTTAATTTAAATCAATACCTACATTATTATCAAATGAAATAAATAAATATATATTCAAATTTCAAATTAAAAATGGATAGATATAAGTAAGTAGTCTGGTAAATGTAGTTATCTTGTTATTCAATAACATAATATTGTGTTAAACATGGTATATAATACCTATTTACTAATAAGAAATACCTAGCTAACAAGTACGTAAGTATAACTATACTATCAGTTCTAAATTGTAACAAAATAACAAATATTATAATAATTTACATACATTATGCATAGGACTACAGTCTTGTAAAGAATACTTTTAATTTGTATTCGGAATAAATTAGAAAAAAATGTATTATGAAAACATGTATGAATACTCGAAAAATAATTCGAATACCTACTATATAAGAATATATATTTTTGTCTCCTCTAATATTTGTCAGTTTTAAAATGGTTGGAAATGGATGTGGGTATAATCATAATATATATTCGTTCAAAGAGAAAAACTATTGCTTATAACTTTTAATGTGCCCCATTTTTAATAGAAAAATGTGTTTTGTCTCAAATATTAACTATTTATTGAGTTCAACAAGAGTATTTGAATACATATTATATTCGAATAGTTTACAAGATTGTACGCCGTAGGGCCTTATACAAAGAGCACCTACAATTTGTATAGCATTATGTTCAAATACAATATTTAAAAGTTTAATTTTGTATAAATAGACATATTATAAGTTGTTATGGATAAAATCTAATTTTAAAGTTTAGTACTTACTTGATGATACTTTTAGAAAAGAAAAAATATAAAATCCGTACAGAAAATTACGGACAATACGGATTATACCTAGCTATATCTAATGTAAAAAAAGGTAATATATTGCCATATTGGTTATGATTCACGTGTTCATTGGCGGAACCTTGGTGACTAGTTAAAGTTATTACTTTTCATTATTTCGAGGTGGATATTTAGGGAAATTATTGAAAATCAGATTCGAATTTAGAAAATTAGGACGTCCATGGAAATGATTTCTAAATATTTTATAATAGAGTTTGTGCAGCTTGGTTACTATAGGACGTATACGTTTGCGGTTCAAAGGTTCGTGACTTCGTGCCTTTAATGATACATAATATTATATTAATTATTATATAGTTGTGGACCGAGATATGATGGTACGAAGGGACAGTATTGGAACACTGTTCAATCAGATAGGGACAGTTAGGATTAAATAACATTATGTACACTGTACTGTGTACAGTGTAATTTTAGCATATTATAGGTAATCATTTTTTCATTTTTCATTGTAATTGTTGAGTTATCTTATAGTTTTTAAAATAAACAATTTTTTTTTTAATATTTATTTACTTTAGGTCTAAATGTCTTAGGTGTTGATTAAAATATTGTTTTTGCGTTTAATGAGATGCTTGTATAGGTAAGGCTAGAATCTACTATTATCCAAGGTCTCGTTGGCATTTGAGTGTTATTCATCACTTCGTTTTAACTAGAAATGATAAACGCGAACTATGAACATATTATTTACTTTTGATAATTTTAACATGCCATTTAGGTACCTACTTTTAAAATGAAATGCAAAAAAACTAAATAATAAACAATTTACTAAAGAAAATCAATTTTTGACTTTTTAATCTTTAAAAACTAAATAAAATTATTAAAATTTAATATTGATCTACCTATATATTAAAAATTGTAAGTGACTTATTTGAGACAAAACACATATTAGATAACAACAATAAAAAATATGTTTTAATTTTAAAGAAACTAATGTCAAACTTCATAATACAAAGTAAAGACTATGCGTATAGCATGTTGCATATAATATAATATTATATAATTATATCGTAATTTTTTTTTTGATTTCCTTAAAGCTTTATTTAATACTAATTTTAAATGGCATATATTGGCGTTTAAATGATATACAAATCTAATAATAATGTTAAATGTAGTATTTATAGAATTAAAAAACAACTATATCCTGTAGGTACCTACTATATGTTCCTTTATCTTTTAAAAACCAACATTAGGTAACGATAAGTAAAATCACAATGCAATATGACTTTTAAATACATTTTAATATATTAATATTATATCTATTGGTATGATGAAAATAATTCCTAACAAGTAGATTATTAGAAAATAAAAAATAGTTATAACTTAAAAGTTATAAGTACCTATATTAAAAATTAAGGTGAGTGGAGGAGTTGATGAATATTTGTTGAGGTACCTATATACCCCTGTACCACTTCACTCCACTCATCTAAAATTTAAATACCTGCATATAAGTTATAACTAATAAGCTAGGTACTAGAAATGCATATTATCATTAAAAAAGATTAAAAGATTAAAAGAAAATAACCATAAAAAGTAAAATATATCAATTTTAAAAACAACTTTGTTTTTAATGCCTTAAAATTATGTAAAATAATTATTCTAAAATACGTTAATTATTTTTGAAACAATGAGTATGTATAATGCGTAAATGTGAGATGTGTTCATGCATAAATAATTTTATACTCTGAGCGTAGCGATGAATTTATTGATTTTACAATGATGGGTATGTTTTTATTTATATTTTGTTTTTGTCATCGTGTATTTCCATCATAAATATCAAAATCCTTGTTTGAGCACCTCCCCGGGGTTGGGGATCCAATAGGGAATTTAAATCATCCCGGGCACTACTCAGACACACACAAAAAATTTCATCATAATCGGTCCAATCGTTTAGAAATGTATAAATGGCATACAGAAAAACATTTATTTATTATTGTTATTATTTTCGGCCACCCAATTATATTTTTCCAAGACAAATTTTACATTAAATTTTTCCCCGTGACTCGACCAATCTATTAGTGAAATACCGAATAATTATGAAAATCCGTTGAGTAATTTTTGAGATATGCGAGTAAATACAAAAGGTGCTACTATTTCCGATAAAAAACAAAAAACAATGTGGCTTGAAAATTAGTTACAATTTTATTTTTATTTTGTCCAGTCTAATAATTTCAGACGTTTATTATTTGAGGTATTTTAAAATGTTTGTAACTTTTCAATTTTTTTGGTAGAAAAAATGCTCTGATCATAAGCTTCGATTCCCAGTGTATGTTTTTGGAAGCAAATTGGATGTAGTTGGTACTTTTAGGAGGTCGAAATTGAAAATGCTCAGTGCTTTTAAAAATAATTGGAGAAAAAAAATGAAAATGTATTTAAATTGTTTGGTAACAAGCTTGTTTATACCGTTCTCACTTGGATTGTATTTGATTAATTAAATTTTTTTTTTCTACAAATGTCAAAAAAAATTATTTATCCTGTCAAAAAGCTTAAAAATGTAATACTTAAGTTTTTTTATTATAGCTAAAATATTAACGATACATAGGCATCATGGTTTTTTTTTTATAAGCATTTAAAGTTCAAATTTCGTCAAAACCACAGTTAATTTGTTGTTCAAAACTTATAAAATATTAAATGTGTATAGCTAAGGCTAGACAATTTAATACATGGTCTTTTATACAAGTAGTTCATACTTTTACCTAACAATTGGAAACAAAAAGAAAATTGGTATGTTTTTTCAAGAATGAATTCATTCTGGTAAGACATAATATGAAATTTACGTCTTACTTAACATAGTTTACGGTTGAAACTTGATAAATATTCTTTGAAAAAGTAATAATAATGTAGGCATGGTTATTTTTTATATAAGCATTATTTAAAGTTCAAATTTCGTCAAAACCACAGTTAATTTGTAGTTCAAAACTTATAAAATATTAAATATGTGTAGCTAAGGCTAGACAACTTAATACAAGATCTTTCATACAAGTAGTTCATACTTTTACCAAAAAATTACGGATAACTTATGAAAATTGGTATGCAAAAAACAATGTTTTTTCAAAAATGAATTCATTCTGGCAAGACATACATAAAATGTAGGTACGTCTTGCTTACTATAGTTGACACTTTAAACTTGATTAATATTTTTTTGAAAAAGTAATAATAATACGGGCAATGGGGGGGGGGGCTTCAGCCCGTTAGCCGCCCTCCCCCTCCCCCCTGCGGACACCACTGCAGCTAGTTATAAGGTATAAGTAATACGTTCTATGGTAATACAATATTATACGAATGACGCGGTGTGTATTCAAAAGCAAAAATACCGCGAAAACATTTATAACCTCTTTGACTTCCCCTATTGTGTTACAACAAAACATCTGACTGATAATAAATGTAATATTATTTTTTCTTATTTTTTCTTATCTATTTTATTGATTACTATTATAACCATTTACTATTTGGCCTTTGCAGTTTCCAAGAAATTGTATATTATCATAAATCATAATCCTCATTCTTTTTGGATAAATTGATTCTGATATGAGTCTCGATGGAGCGTGGTGGCCTTTTCTATAATTCTCGTTCTTAATTGTACATTTGTACATCAAATTATTTTGCCCGTTGCAAAAAATGTTTGGAAGGAGCCTGAAGACAACGAAGAGGCTGCTACATCACCCCACTTCACTGCGCACCGTAGAGTACCAAAGGTCGCTGAGGAAAAATTATGGTTAGTGTTAAATGTTTTGTTGTGTTTTGCGATATATTATTGGACACGCATGCGACGCGTGTTTAAATTAAATTAATTTGTGTTAGTTTGGCAATGAAAAGTGACAATAAATTCTACTTCTCAATCTCATTCATTTAATACAAATATTTTACAATACTTCATGTAGTAGTCAAGGCATAGTCATCAGTAAGTGATAATAAGATCGAAAGAATTTTTATTTATTTATTTTTTATTGTACAATCTGTTCAAATAAATGTAGAACAATAATTAAATGTGACGTATGGTGATAAAATAAATACATGATTCACGGTAACCTCTCCCACTAGAGGAACTTTGATGAAAGCATTTAATGGATAATATTGTTCTTCCTTTGATTGAGTTAAGTGAGTACAGCATTTTTCACATTCAAAAAAATTAGATTAATACCTATTTATTATTGTGAGTTTTTTGAACTATTAATTTTGAATTTTAATACTCAATATATTTCAATATATTTGTAGTTACATTAGCAGTTTTGATTTATAAATACTATTGCTTTTTGCATAAGATCCTTTTTTAGATTCTAAGATGAATGTACTGATATTACAATGATGTGTTATTGTTTTTCATTTTTGTGTCAGATGTAACTTTTTCTAGTAGAAAAAATGCTCCGATTATAAACTTCGAGGGAGGTTTCTAGTAATAAATTTAGTTTGTTCTTGGTAAAAAATTGTAGTTAAAAATATGGAAATTTCTCAATATTATCTAAAATGATCTTGAAAAACAAAGATATTTATACGGGGTTACATGAACATAATAAGTTATAAATGTAATATCTATTTTTATTAAATGATACCAAAAAGTTAAACTGTTTCTGATCGGTTTTCTTCGTATAGAATGATTCATCATTGAATTCAGATTAACACATCCATTACATTGATATAATCAATGACAGGGTACATTCTACACTGGCTACATTAACAGTTTTCTCTTTCGTTTAACTATTCAATCAAATACTATAAGTACTAAGTTTCACATAAAATAATATTAATAATACAATAATAAAATTTAAATTGTTATGCTGACACTCATTGACATAAAAATTGGTAGTGCCTACCTAATACAAGTTAACATTTAATAGAGTTAGTTATGTAAAAATATACATTTTTCATTTAAAGCTTTGGGCTTATAGTGTTCCTATGTGATCTATTTTGCAAAAAATATTTGTCGAACATTATTAGTAAAACGACAAATTATTTTATTTTATTGGTAATATATTTTACATTTTGTTTAATAGGTACTTTAATACCATTCCTATTTCCTTTCATTGGAATCAATAGATAAAAACTTTAAGAATGTAAAAAATCAACTTACAAATTACCAACTAAAAAACATAAATTTAAGTTTGGTGCCCTAGTGCAGTTTACTGTCTTTAACCCATCTTAGCCAGTATAGTTTACCTAATATAAAATTATATAATATTTGAAATTGAGAAAAATCAAAATTAAAATTAATATTATACCTTCAATAGCTATTATGAAATAATTTTTTTTAAACTATATTTATATAAATTTGTTTCTTAGAAATTAAATACCAGGATTACAATATTATGGAATATTAATTATTTTATTAGATCTTATGGACAGAATTTAAACCAATCCTTTATTTTATTTATGCAAACCCATTTTTAATTAGTTATATTATAACTGAATCAAATACCTACTTATAAATGTGTGTTTCTATTCTATATTAAAGTAGTTAATATGTATTTAATTTCATTGATTATACGTTATTTACAATTTCAAGGAGAGTGTCAAATAATATCTAAATTTATGATTAATTATGAATCTAGTTCATAATATATTCTGTTTTATAGATTTAATATGTATATTACATTTTAATTAAAATAAAATAAAAAGTGATTAATAATTAGGCTTTTAGGTACCGAATTAGAAGACATATTATGTAATACATTTATATTACCTACATGAGTTATTTAAAAACAGATAACAACTAACGCCAACAACTTTATTTCGACCAAAATCTGAATTGCAGCTTTATATTACAAGTATTACACCATTACCTAATTAAAACAAAGTTATAATTTATATTATCTTTTTGTTTTTGTTTTTTTTTTTATTTTAGAAAATGTACAATCTATATTAATAAAACACAATGAGTAAATGTGATATATGTACAACAAAACAATATAATATAATAACAGAATGGCAGGATAAGGGAGGCCATCCAATGATAGAACCCTTAAATTATATTATCTTAAATTAATTAATTTTCATTCAAGAATAAGGTTATAAAAAATATAAATAATGAAGAACAATTAATATACTTTGGAAATGAAATACGTCATATAATAGAATGTAACTATCATTCATTCATATAATCATATGCATAACAAGAAATTAGCATAATATATTATACTTTAGACATAAAGCATAATTTTTATATTTTATGAAGACAGGATAACAATATTAAATTGCAATTTACCAAACCGGTCAATTTTATCCGGGATTTTATCATAACAGTTACGATCTTTTAATTATTTTTTTTTTAAAAATGCGTTACATATTAATACGTAATAAGACGTAATGACTAATAAAATACCAATATAAAATCAATTAGTTTATCAAAATCTGTAATAGATTATCACACATAAAATTACCTCAAATACAATTTTTAAAATAGACTTGTTTTATTATTAGTATTATTTGTATGCAAACTACAAAAAAAAAAATTCATATTTTTCTTTTATTCATAATTGGAAAATGAAAGTGATAAATATTAATTATTTAATACTATGTATGTATATTGTATACTTACCGGCTACCATATCATGTGCATAATCCTTATCGGTAATCGGAAAAAAAGTCCCGAGCTGTACGTACCTAATTATAATTTTACATTTTTATAGCATTATTATTATAACTATATATTTACAATAATTGTATTCATTATTGTATTGCATTTTATTATTTTAGACTTGTATTAAATTAAATTGTATTATATTTTAATATGTTATTTAAGAGGACGCCACACCCGCATGTGTTGTCTCCGTCTTACAAATGTACAACATAGCAAAAACTGTTTAGCGCGGGACAATTGTTCTCGCACCATATTTGTTGTAGAACTATCAAATTTTCACAAAACGTAAAGAATAACTTTATCTGTGCAACAGCGTGCTTTTTTAATATCGCCATCCAATCATTTTTTATAAGCAAATGAAAAAACAAAATGTTTAGAAGCAAATAACTTTATTGAAATTACGTTATCTAAAATATGAGCACGCTGTTACACAGATAAAGTTCGTCTTTACGTGTTTTGAAAATTTGGTAGTTCTACAACAATTATGGTGCTAGAACAGTTGTCCCGCGCAAAACAGTTTTTGCTATGTTGTACATTAATTATTGTAAGACGGAGACAACATAATATGCGGGTGTGGCGTCCTCTTAAGTAATTAACATTTTTTATGTAACTTAAATGTATTTTTCAATAACACTTTTAACATAATTATACTTCAATTTTGATATATTTTCATTAATTTTTATCGGGATTTTTTTTCCTAGGGTGGGACTTTTTTTTCCGTGATTCTCATTATTATATAGTTTATCCACCTATTTATTACTAAGCAATTAATGCAGTTCACATATTTTATTTTTTTTAAACCAGACGTAGCGGCCTCCCGACAAATACACGTGTCCAGGCGATGCGGTATTTGTTTTTCGAATAATATTATAATTTTAAAAATGTATAAAATTAGGACTGATACCGCGCGTCTTAGTCGAAATTACGTCCACACAGACGCGGCCCAATCTGAGCGGCTTTCTTTAATTTCATATAGGCCGCCTACTGGCTACTAGGCTGAAAAGAGCCACAGAAACGAATTTGTGACGTCACACTCATGTGGCAAGGCAAAAGCTGCTTCATCTGGACGCGCCTTTAAATACAATTAAAAAATTATAAGATTATAATATGCTTGTTTAATTTTCAATAATTTCTAAAAAATTTTCCGGGATCTTTATATTATTTTGTTTGAAGTATAAAGGTTATGAACGATTCTCTTAAAAATATATAAATGTTTAAGTTTTTTTAAGCTCATATTCTGAAAAAATAAGGAAGTTGATAAAATTTAAAAAGAGATTGATATCATGCTATTGTGCAGAATACGTTATTTTATATACAATGTTTTTATTGGTATTGTTTACCTAATTATATGAATACATTTATAAAACACTAAATATACCCACTTATCATAAAGTGTAATTAAATAATCTTGGTAGGACCATTTAATCTATTCTGTGGTGGGACCACGTATTCGTCGTTTCTAATTGGATATTGATTAATACTTAGAAGTCACATGTTTGATTATCTATATGCCATTGAAATGTGTGGTTATGTAAAACGGTAATGACCATTGTTATATGTGAATATCTATAAACATATATCTTCCTATTAGTTCCACGTGTAATAAATAATGTTGTTCATCAATATAGTGAAATTTAAACACCTTACGTGATATTTTAAATCAAAGACAATTACAATTAAAAATTTATAATTTATTTTGATATTCGTTATTACTTATTGATATTTTCATTTAGGTACCTACCGATTTAGTATTAATGTTATTATTTATGTAACCCGTATCCCATAGGTAATTTCTTTTACAATTTCTTAAATTTCACGTCGAGGGTGTTATTTTATTAAACAATTTTTAAAAAATACAGTATTTGACCATATAACATTTTCGATTTCAACTATTCATCTATAACCAAACACAAACTACAAGAACAATTTCTTAAAATTATAATTACTAGTTTAATAATGTTTCCCCTTAAATAAACTAATCATACTACTTAGTACCTACCTACTATATACTACTAAATACTACAGTAAATGTTAGTATTAGATAACGGGTAGATATCAGCTTAAATAGGCACATCGCAAATCATAATACAATTGATATATTTTAAAAAATTTTATCATACTATAATTTATTTGTTATAGTTAGATTTTATATATTTATAACTTAACGTTATTATTTGTATTACCTTTTACTTTATTATGTTATTTTGTCGATACTTAGTAATATTTCATTTTTATTTAAACAATTTAACAGTGTAGATATTAATCTTCACGAAAGTAGAATAATTTTAATATGGTGTGTATGCTAAAAAGTAATTAAATAATAATAAGTTATTACAATTTTTATAAAAAAAAAACACTTATTATTTATAAATTAGTACTATTTAAGTACCAGACAAAGATTTACTAAGTTTAAGATTATGTATAGTCAGGTTTCCATTACTCGGACAGTCGGATATTTTATATTAGTAACAATTTTAGGAAAACGTGTTCTTCCAAAGGGGTACCCCTTCTATTCATAATTTACTTCGAATCTCCAACAAAAAACAACTTTCGCATATTTCAGGAAGTCATCAATTCCGTCTTATACTCTTATCTAATGCACATTTCATTATATCACTATAATATTACATACTCTTTTACTGAATGTGATTTCATGCAGTTACTTATGTAATGTTCAATTAAAATTAGTTTGAACTTTTGTAACTTTAAAGGACGCTAAACCCGCATATTGTGCTATCTTACATGTTTTATACAAACTTACAAGTTACAACAAATAACTATGTAAAGTTCTACAATTTTAAAATAAAAATATCAATAAATTCCTACGAGGTTTCCTAGATGATATTCTTACCTTCAATAGTTGGATAATAGGTCAATTCACTCTAATATTAAAACTAACCATTTAAAATTAGTTCTGATGAACGAACATTTTAGTATGTTGTAAGCTTATACCAAGGCATAATTCTTTGTGAGGTGTCGATAGCCCCCCGCCCTGTGCGCTGTGTGATGATCTATATTTGTGTCATGTCAAGTAAAATTTGTATGCAGTATGTCTTGTAATCAAATACAAGATTTGTATACACCCCACCCTCATGAAATTAACCTGAAGACTTAGCTGTTTATAACACGGAGATAAACACATGAGAGTTGGTATCCCCTTGTAATACATTCAACAATATGAAATAGAGTCATAGAGATATTATGAAATCATAAAGTAAATACTAAATACCCATAGACTGTAGCTGTTATCCAAGTGCATCGTAGACTACGAATTATAGAAATCAGTTTTTATAATACACCTATATGTTTAGTATATATAAGTAGTATTTTAGTAGTTAGATTTATATAAAGAAGTTAGCTTATATTTATATATATATTAATATTATTATATCCCTGCCTATTATAGAGAATATATTTTTAGTAGTTATAGATACTTTAAAAAATTATATTAGGTATTTGAATAATGTATTCATTTAGCTCTACATAATAGATAAAATAAATATATGTTATATAATTTTTAATTATTGTTTTTTAACAAAGTTGTATTGAGCTCAAGACTGCATGTGCAAGGTAAAACTATAGTAAATAAGTGTTAGTTTATAATTTATACTTTACTAACTATATTCGGTTGGATGACTTTTAACTTTTTCAGGTTTATTTCACCCAAATAGTATTATAACTTATAGTCGTATCGATTTTTTATTTTGTTAAGTGTACATCAAACGGTCACTAACCTTACGTTAGTATAATATAATATTTGATATTGAATCTCGAATTAACAAAATTAACATATTATTGTTGTAAACTTATAAATCCAATCAATAATCAAAAGTTAATTTGAGGCTTAAATATTTTAAATAATAAAGTTATTAAGTTAAAGTATTACATACCTTTTACCATCAATTATATTTTTTTTTTCAAGTTCGCCAGCGGTATATATAAGCCTAGGTAATTAATAATTATTATTATAATTATTATTATATAGGTTAGGTACTTGTGTACCACTTATTTGATCGTTTGATGCTTTGAGATTTCTGAATATTAAAAAATAAAAACATTAATTTTTAATTATTTTATATTATGTAATAATATTGTGAAGCAAATATCAAAACTAAGTTAAATATAATGTCTTGTACTGTTAATAAATAAAATATGAATATATTAATTTATAATCAATTAAGATTTGAGTTTCACATCAAGATCCATGTTAAAAATATAATTTTAAAAAATATCTTAAGAATAACGCATTTTTAAATTTATTTAGTAAAACCTCTATTCTTATTTCTTAGTATAATTATCGGTTTAATAAATATTTTTTGAGCATAAGGAGGTAATTTAAATTTAAGCTGTTAACATTAATATAAATCTTCAATAATATACCTATTATATATTTGTATGTGTTTAATATTACAACTGATATTACAGCGATAAATCGTAATAAACCATAGAACTGTCAATTATATATAAAGCAATTTTAAAATGTAGTCAATCATTGTAATTTTTATAATCGGGTAACAATAATTTTACTATGTGTATGTAGTCAATGAACTATTTAAATAAAAGTGGCGTGACTAGCTTAAATTCATATTCTATTTTAAGTCTAAACTACTCTAATAAGTATACATATATACAAATTAGATGCCATTCATCGACACATAATCTTTGCAAATATGTAATATACGTGCTATACGTATATATTATATATACCTATAGGTTCATATTTTTACCAAAGGTCAATTCAATTAAAACCAATTGAGCTTGTTACTAAATTTTCGAGGGAAAATGTTCTAAGGTATTAATAAAAATATTAACCGGTCGATGATATTTTTAAACCTTTTGTAGTATCAAGTTCAACACAATATCTAAGGTGTTTAAAATGTCGATGATATATTTTATTGTAACATTGACAGTTGGGAATCTATTTAAAATATAATAAGAAAAATGTGGATGAGAAAATTAAGAGTATATAGCCGGGTATTACGAGTATTAAGGTCATTATTACGCCGACTGATTTGCTCCAAACCTCTTCCATCACGCCACCACACGCGCGCTCACACGCATCAATTTTATTCGCCTGATTATTTAAACATTTACACGCGGACACGCGTCATGGATGAACTATGGATACAATACTACTATGAATTAATTGACATGTGTACGCAATATTTGTGCGCCTGTGTGTAACTTCGCCTATTTTGTTTGTTATTTTTTCCGTAATTGTTTTTTATTCGTGTTAATTTTCATATTCAAATTATTAACAACCTATTTATCTAGGTACCGGAAATGATGCCGGTGTACAAGAAGTAGTGGCAAAAAATTCACGATGGTGGAACTGGACAAACCTGATTTATCCCATCCCCACGGGTGTAGGGTTGACTTTACTAGCTGTACTTCAATGGCGTCGTTTAAACAAGCAACAGCCAGAAAACGAACAACAACCCATCTATACGCGGAATCTAAGGGTAAACAATTTCATCAAAATACTCTAAATAATGTTCAAACAAATTATAATTTTTATTAAATTCTTTTTTTTTGTCACTAAAATTGTAGTGACATACTATATGGTATGTAAATTTTGTTCATTACTGATTAAACAATGCAAAACAACACTTGTTGGTAAATAACTGTTGCATACACAAGTATGTACAAAAACGTATTGAATTTACGTCAGAAAAAAAAATCAGATGAACATGAATAATTTATAATAATATGAGTGTGCTATTTGAGTAAACTTATGGTTCATAATATACTTATTAATATTACATGAATATATTATAGTGTTAAGTTAATAAGTCTATTTATTTTAAAGTGCAATATGCTCGTTAAAATAATCAGTTTCTATATAAAATATGTCAGATAATAATGATACAATATTCCATGTTTATGTAATAGGATAATTATTAGTCTATTATCAAAGATAGAATAATGAAGGTGATTACATTAATCGCAATTTTTATACTACCTATATAATATAATACTTTAAATTACTATGAGTACCTAACTGATTAAAAAGGGACTGAAGCGAACATTTTTGCTTAAGAGGACTTCAGCGCCCTATTTGTTTTTTCTCTCAAATTTTCGTTCGGCTGATTCAATTGAATGATTTTATCATTAATTTTATAGTGAAATTGACCTATTATCAAACTTTATGTTAAGAATATTATCTAAGACACCTTATATTGGCTTTAATTGATATTTTAATCGAGTTATGGTCATTATAATATTGTAATATTTAACATAGTTATAACTCACTTTAAAATTAAAATATCAATAAAATCGTAGAGGTGTAAAATATTCTTACCTTTATGTTAATAGCATAATTCACGCCAACATTAAACCTAATAACACAAATTAGATCGGCTGAATGCAAATTTGGTGCGAGTGATCAGAATCTGATAAAGAAAATAAACAATGCGCTGACATAATAGACTAAAAATATGACTTAAAATTAGAATTTGAAACGATTGTGTTTATTTTAATGTATACAATTTTTTGGTTTAGATACGCCCATATTTAAACGGCAAGCCTATTAGTTTATTGACATACGCCCTTATTCCCTTTCTTTTTACACAAATCAAAGTTGTGAATGCCACCCTTCTCTCATTAATTTACTTTTTAATAAAATAGTACTGTATTGTATTGATTGTTTTTTTATAGTTTATAGAATTATAGAACTACAATGCGTATTACGTATGATTTTTTAACCCTAGTAACTGCATATTATATTCCGGTAATAATGTTTAATTAAAAATATTACTAAGGCATTTGACGACAAACGATTTAAAATATCACATTTCGGTTATTCCTAAAATAATCGGGTCAAGTTAAATTTAAATTTATAATATATTATACAATCTTTTGTTGGTTATTTTTAAGTATGAAGTAGTTATTTATAAACCAAGGAATATAAGGCGCATACAATAGCTTTAAATGGAAGACATCAATTTCCTCGTCAATTTAAATCTAATTATTTTATTAATATAAAATATTAGATATGAATTATCTGTTTTGTATTATATTATTAGGCATCCAATTCAATATAATATTGTATGTCTTATGTGAAAGGATTTTTCATCTCAGATTTATCAAGTTTATATTATTTATTATTTTATTATATTGCTAGCTCTAATTTATTTATCATGAATACAGATTCTCTCAAAAAAAAAAAAACCTTTAAAAATTAACTATTCTGTTAATTGGAAATGTACAGTGGTGTATACAGGAATTTTCATTGGGGGGGATATATATTCATTATATCTAAAATAATCGCAGGTTAGTGCCCCCGCACTAATATTATATAATATATAAACAAAAACAGACGCATCCGAGTTGGTTCTCGAGTACTAGTAACTAATCTGCAGGTACTAGTTGGTTCCGAATATTTTTTGGTGAGTACTACACTATACTAATATTTTCCTTCCCATTTTAAGTCAATTTTTTTGCTTTTAAAAATATAAATTAATTGAATTGCATTTTGTAAACTATGATATAATTTAAATATAGTTAAGTACAATACCAAGAATTAACCAATACAAAAATAATTTTTTTAAACAAATTTTTATTCATATTATTATAATTTATATTTTTAAAGGGAGATACCAAAAAAAAATAAACAAAAACATGTTTTATTGACAGTTCTAATAAGTCTGTTAAAATGTTAGTAAAGTGTAGTGCTTACCAACAAATATTAGGGACCTAACTAGTGTAATACCTAAAAGACTTCAGGACCCAACAAGTAGGTATAGTACATAAAATAATATACTCGGGACCTAACTCATATTTAAAAAAAAAAGGTTAAAAGGGGATCGCGTGTGTAACGTCCTCTTAAGAGATATATTATGGTACTATTACAATTTCACTGTATTCCGTGTAATCCGGTGTGGTTCCCACAATATACCAAATTTTTGAAAATATTCAACTACTCCACCGTGGGTTAAGTGGTTATCAATTACTATAGTGAAATCTTTTACCCGTATAATATTATTTAAGTTGGTGAATAACAACGAGACAATAAATTCATTTCATGGACCACATGGTTACACGGAATGCGGTGACAGTGTATACTGTATAGTATATTATAATACCTACAAGACGTAACCTACATGCAAGGACACAAAAAGCAACTCCTTGTATTCGTATACCTAAAGGGCTAAACGTAGTAAACCGTTGACAAGACATTATGTTCATTCTAAATAATAATTTTTTTTTTTTTTTTTTATTGATCTTGAGCCCGGCAGCTGAGGCCATTAGCTATTTTTTTTTTTTTGTAGGTTTTTTGTTGGTAGGGGGGAACACGTGTGTGTTTGTTTTTTGGCAGAATTTTTGACACCGTGACTTGCCCGATGAAAAATGCCGCCCATGGCCGAGGTATTGAACCGGCGTCGGTGTGCGTCGCAACCGAGGAGGGACGACGGACGCCTTAGTCAGCTCGACCACTCCGTCCCCTCCCCCCCCCAAAAAAAAAAAATTATAGTATAATATATTGATGGTTGACATTGGTCGTTGAATATAATAACAATAATTAAAATAATCACGAATTGACAAATTAGATTAGTATATTATTTTAGATTCTTACCGGAGCGATGAATGTATTAATTTTACAATGCCGTGTTTTTATTTGTCTGCTTCGATTTTCAACTTCAGTATCTGTTCTGGTGGGAAAGTGAATCTAGTTGGGACTTTTGAGAGGTTAATATTTAAAATTCCCGGTAGTTTTCAAAAGTTACGGGAAAACCAAAAAAAACATTAAGAGAAAATGGGAATTGTTACGAAAAACCAGTTTTTGACAAAATCAAAACAATAGATACATGGAATCTTCGCCGAACCTTTTTGTGCTTTTCAATAGCATAAAAATAGTTGATTATTATAAGTTTTATTAAAATTATTGATAATAAAATATCTTACTATCAAAAACATTAAAATTTAAGACAAGGTTCTTCATAAGTTCTTATCTTTGGAAATTAAAAAAAAAGGTTAACGGAAAGTTACATTAATTTTTTATGATCATTGAAATTAAAATGTTTACGACATTGTCCAATTCACCAGTATAATAACTTTTTCTGCAATTTTCTCCAAATGTTTATTTTATCAATTTCTACACATGATAACATTAAAAAATATTTTGAGTTTTTTTTGATAAAATTCTTCAGTCAAGACAATTTGCAAATTCTTTTGAAGTTAAAAATGTATAATGTGTTCAATTTTTATGGCCAACAGTTGCAAATTTAAAACAAGATTTCTCATAAGTAGTTCATACTGCAAACAAATATTATAAGCTAAAAAATATATAAACACAGTTTTTTTTTATAGACATTGTAAATTCATATTTGGACAAAAGTAGATATTTTAATGAAGAATGACGGTTTTAGTTATTTTATTGTAATATAAAAATATTATTTGTGGGTACCTACTTGAAACTTTTGAAGTATATTATTATTATTGTATTATTTAACTACACAATTTTTTACATAATACTATATTATTTAAACAAAGAGAATAAAATATATATTACTTATATCATTAATATTATAGTTAGGTATGTGAGAAATGTATATTACAAATTGTAAATATTTAATTTATAAGAACTATTTAATGTATTTATATTTCAAATTGTGATCTCATGGGTCCCCACACGAACATGTTCAGTGGGGTCCATTATCTTCTTGAAGAATAAATAAATAAATAAGTATTAATTAATACCACAGTGACATTTTTAAATTTCCTGTAAAAAATAATTCAACCTGTATTACTAATAGTAAAATAAATTACTTGAATGGTAATAATTTCATAAAATATACACATACTTATAGTTATAACGGCTGACAGAAGATCTTTGCTCAGAATTGTTTTTTATATACAATGATTTTTTATATCATTGAATTCAAATTTAACACATCCATTATAGTGACCCACACTACTTCTAAATGTACAACAGAGCACTATACACTTGTCTACCTTTTTTTCTTATCATAAGCAAACCCACTATAGCCCTCCACCCCTCACCGTTATATAATATTAATTTCTAGATGAAAAGATCTGTAAAAGTCTGGAATTAAAAAAAAAAACCAAAAAAATTTATAATGGAATTTTTATTTTTCATTAGTTTTATTTCTAATAAATGATTTAGTTTTAATTTTAATTTTGTTATTTCTTTTTCAGCTATCATTTTACAAAGCAATACCATTAAGAGCAATGTCGCGCTTATGGGGATATATTTCAGGATGCTACATTCCTCGGCAATTGAGATATTGGTTGTATACAGCCTACTCAAAACTGTTTGGCGTTATTATAAATGAAATTGAATTGCCCATGGAGTCTTATAAAAGTTTAGGAGAATTTTTTGCTAGACGTTTAAAAGATGGTGCTCGGCCAATAAGCTTTGACAGTCCAATGGTAAGAGATTTCACTTGTATCTGAAATATTTAATGATATTTGTGTTGTTTTTACAATTTTACGTGATAGTGGATTATAATTTTATCTGTGTGATGTCTTTATATGTTATTTAAATCATTAAATCAATTATAAATGCTAACAGGTGTCTCCGGCTGATGGCACCATAGTGAGTGTTGGGCGTGTTACATCTTGTCAAGTCGAACAAGTTAAGGGTGTCACGTATACTATCAAGTCGTTTTTAGGTTCACCAACTTGGCAAGAAGATATAGCTACATCAAATTTAGAATCCTCATCAATGAATACTGCAACAAAAAGTGATATGATGAAACAAGACTCCTCTACATCCAATTGTAGTGGTTGGTCCATTAATTCCACTTTCCTATTTTATCATTACGGCCTTCTCACTATGCACATGTACTGCATCAATTTCATATTCAACTTCCTCTCACAAGGTGTAAGCTTTTTCAGTCTATCGTTTAAGAAACAAGATGTAGTATTGTCAGACGACACACAAGAAAAAACCATTTCTGTTGAACGACAAGACAAAAATGATGGCGAATGTCCACCATTTGATCCTCATTGGAACGAATATAAATCAAAGTTGTTGCACAATCCAGACAATGAATTGTATCAACTGGTGATTTATTTGGCTCCAGGAGATTATCATAGATTTCACTCACCAGCTCAATGGACTGTTAAATTTCGAAGACATTTTCAAGGTACATATTATTATTATATTGCAAACATTTTTAATTTGGAATTACTAATTATCAACTTAAATTATTTATGTAGGTGAATTATTAAGTGTCAATCCAAAAATAGCCCGTTTACTACCAGATTTATTTGTGTTGAATGAGAGAGCTGTATATGTTGGGGAATGGGAACATGGGTTCTTCTCAATGACTGCTGTAGGCGCCACAAATGTTGGATCAATTAAAGTACACTCTGATAAGGTAAATTAAATAAAAAAAAATCATAAGTAGTGAATCCTATTATTTACATTATGCGAATGGCTGTTAAAGGGATTGGAAACCAATAAGCGATGCCGTCGAAAAGACTTTAATCAACACGATCGTCCATTCTCAACTCAGTGGTCAATAGGACAAGAAGTTGGAGAATTCAGAATGGGATCCACAGTAGTTTTGTTATTTGAAGCACCCAAAGGGTTTGTTTTTGAAGTGGATGCTGGACAAACCATACAAATGGGACAAGCTCTTGGCAGAATAGGTGTTTCCCAAGTTGATTATATTACTTCAAAATAAATTAAGTAATTAATAAAAATAAAAAAAATCCTCTTGTCTCATAAAAACTTCAGTACATCCTTCTTACAGACTACTTTAAGGCTGACTAAATTTTTAATTAATTTATATCCATACAATAATTATTAATTAATTATTTAGTTTTTATGTTTACGTGATAGAGAGTTTGGAGTCCTGGTCTCTGTAGACCAGTATTATTATATTATATATAATAATTATTTCAATTTAAAAAAAAGTATTTTAAAACAATAAAGACAATTTTTTTTTAAATATACTCTGATCCAACTTTGAATTTAATTAGAAAATATATGTATAAATTATTTTAAAATCAAAAATGAGTGACCAAAACTTATACTTAAGTGTGCAACTATTTTTTTTCCACTTTAAAATGTAATAATCGTTAAAAACCAAGATGATATTCTGTGTTTGTGTGATATGTATAAAATATAAATTAATTATGTTATCTAGTATTTTAAAAATGGTTAGTACGGAGTTTTTTTTTTAAACTAGATATGAAAATTTACATGTACCCTTATAACCTTCTTGGTTCAATTATAATAATTAATATAATAAATATAATAATTGACTTCATTACTAGTTATTGGATACTTTTTTTTAAACATATTCAACACACCGTAGTAAATAGTTTATAGTTCTACAATATTTTAAAATGTTTTGTGTCAATTACCATTAGTTTTAAAAATATTTATACTCAAAAAAAAAATGTGCATATTGAATTGCATTTAATATTTAATAAAAATCTGTCAATACTTATAAAAATATATTATATATATACCTATAACAATAATTTAACAATAATATAATAGTATAATTATTAAAAATAAAATAAATGTCTTAAAATATCACAATTATTGCATTTGTTTTTTTTATATGTTTTTAACATATTTCATTATTACATGAATAATTTATAGATCTAACATGAATCACTTGATTTAAAATTTTTAATACTTGAGATTAATACTCATTTTTGAAACAGTACTTGAAGCCTTTAAGTCATAGCCGTGTATTAACATAATATTTATTGAGGATGGTTATTTTTCTTCCAAAACATTGTTTGTTTGGCAATATTCGACGATTGAAACATTTTAACCATTTTAGGTTTCAAATCTTGAGTTACACTGCTCGTACCACTATTATTCATTAAATAAAATTCAATTGATTAGTTATATAAATATGAATAAGATAAATGAAGAATATAATTACGTTTCAGATTGTGATGGTGGTAACCTCGACTCGGCTTCTTTGATCAACATAGTTGACAATTCTTTTTGAGACAAATTATTTATGTTACAAAGTTCCTCTAAACACCTACACAATTATAATTTAAAATTAATGAGTTGTTATTACTGAATATTAACAAGAAAACATTAAAATTACCTTAAACTAGGCAAAAGAGAAGATGTGATTGCACTTGGAGATAAAGTACATTCATAAAGGACTGTACTGAATGCATCTAACAATACACGAGTCAATTCTATTTTTCTTGTAATGTCAGACGTTCTTACAGCTACACCAGAGTACATATTTAACTGCACCATCATCACTAAGAAATTAATTTAATTTAAATTTCATAGTAAACATAACATTTTGTTGTCAATTACCATCTTCTCTGTAAGCTTGATCTGACTTGGGAGCCAGTTTTCCAAAAGCTGTTATCAGTTCAGAAGCAAATACTATGCTATCACTTAACGTCCGATCGTCCATTAGACTTTTCATCTGAAAACGACATTTTTCAATAGTATCCTTGTTATTTGTTGACATCATCAGTTGACCAAGAACTGGAACTAGGGCTATTTTCACATCGCTGAAATCATACGTATAGAATTTAAATTCCATTCATTTTTTGTGTTAATAACAGGTTCAAGTTAATAACAAACCAATTAGAATCGTTTGAAAGTGTAATGAGAGCTGGCACAATTCTGTTGGTTATGTTTATATCAGACAAGTATGGCATGACAGATGATAATAGTTCAGTCACAGCTAAACGAACGGCTTCTTTTTGACTAATTACACCTATGAAATCAGTAAATTAACATTGCTTTTACAAAGTGATTTAGTCTTGTTGCTATACCTTCCCAGAGAGATGATAATATTAATTCATGTAAACGTTGATGGTTAAGTGCTAGTTGACTGACAGTAAATTGCAATATATTGATGGGAACACCGCACAATGGTAACGTGCACACATATTTTTTTAAAGTTGCTTCCAACTCTCGATCTTCACGCTAGAAAATGTAAAATCATAACATTATACAAGGTAAAAGCTTACAGTTTTTTTTTACACTAACTCACCTCAATTGGAGCTAATACTGAACACATGTATATACATAGGAGGGTCATTGATGGTAACGCATTAGCAATTTTACCTAAAGATTTTTCAAGATCTTGTATCTTTTTTACAAACAATGGTTTTACCTATAAAAAAATATTTTAAAAAAATGATCAATTATAGTTATTCAATGCTGCGTATTATGAAAAATAATTATAATAAGTCATACTTTATTTTGTGTGAACTTGGATCCAAATCCACAACAAAACGATTGGAATAATGCCATGAGTGACTGCAAAAGCTTTTGGTTTTCAATTGAAACCAAAGATGAAGATTCTATTAAGCTGGGCAACCTAAATATTAAATACAAATTAATAAAGTATTCATCATAAACAAATTTATTTTAAGCACAATAGAAAAAACAAATCGCACATGCATTCAAAAAGCCACTGTAGTCTAGGCCATGTTATTTTATTGTCCTCAACAACCGCATCAAATGTACACATCACTGTACCAATTGTATTATTTGGATCGCTATAGAATACTTGTGGGTTACTCAAACCAACACATATATCAGCAAAACCTGTCCCTGAAACATTAAAAAAAACAAGATAATAGCATCCAAGAAATTATTAATATTGTTATAGTTTCATGTTATTCTTAACCATTTGAAGACTGATTAAGACACACAGGCTACACTCATAGAGCTCACAAAGAATGAAACATTTAAATGTCGGAGCAATGCTATATATTAACATTTTATTTTTATCACCATATTTTTAGCAATGATGCATACGTATATATAAATAAGTGTATATAATAAATATTAAATACATTGGTTAATAAGATAAAACCATTTAAAATAAAGAAAAAACAATGGTGGTAAAAACGTGTATGTTAAATTATAAAGTCAATGTTTCTTATATCAAAAAAAAATTATACAAACATTGCTCATCAAATGGTTAATCAGAAACACATTTGTATTTTACTTACTCAGTTCTCCTCTGGGTGTGTCTTCATCTCGCAATGACATACATTCGGGAGCAGATGCTACATATAATACTAAGTATGGAAGTATGGAACGAATAGCGTTAACCATAGAACAACAGTTAGATTCTAACTGGTCAGTTTTTTGTGATTTTTTTTGAGATTCAAGATTCTAAATATAAAAAGTAATTTAAATAATTAAAAAAAATGTAAACTTTATACAACCTGTATAAATAACCTTAATTTGAGTAGTCAAAGAGTTCATTAATCTCATATAGCAGTTTGATTGTAAACGGCCTTTGTCAAATGCCCATTTTGCTAAGACTGGCAACAACACTCCGATAGTAATTTCAACTATGTATTTTAAATTATCTTTTAGGCCAATAAAAAGTAGTTCTTCAATCTATCAATTTGTAAAAAGTTTCTTATAATACATTAGTTATCAATATTGTATTCCAAATAAGTTTAGAAAAACTGCACAGCCTCGGAAAGGTAGGACCATGTGATTCACCAGTAGTCAGTAGCGCACTGATGGCAGCCAATGAGACAACACATGAATGAAAGTGAAGCGTTTTTTTCCCAAACTTATTTGGAATGGAGTATAGTGCGGTTTTGCTCAGTACAATTATAACAATCAGAATACATTGAAATGGTACATTAATTAAACAATAATTACTTGAGCATATTTGTCAGAATCATAAATATAAACAGTATTGATTGCAATACTTTTAATAGTAGCTGCACGAACAGATTCATCAGTGTCTTCAATCAACATTTGTTGCAATACAGAGAGTAAGGATTGCCTAGACTCACACTAAAACATTATTTTTAATAAATAATAAATTTGCATAAAAATATTTATGATTATGTTATACATTCTATTTACATACACTAATTAATGGGCTAAACCATGAACAAGCCTCAGCAACCAATAATCTTTTCTCAACATATTTATCTGTTAATAAATGCCATAATTGAGGCAATAATTCTTTTTCGAAAAATTCACTATTAGAGTGTTTTAGGAACCAAGATAAACCTAAATTAAAATAAGTAACAAATTAAAACTAGGTACAAATTGTTAATTAAAATTTGGTTTACACATACCACCTATAATTGAACTTCTTTCTTTTTTATTAGGTTTTTTTCTCATATTGAATAAAGAACATAAGATTTTTTCTCTTTCTAATAAATCTGGGTGAATGTGCATTAAGAGAACACTTAAAATAATAAAATCCTAATATTTAAAAAATAAACAGTTTTATTAAAAAAATTATTTAAATAAAATATGTATATATATTACTTCTTGTTTTTCGGATTCTAAAATATTTTGATCATTTTGATTACGTAACCTTTGATTTTCAAGAATTCGTAGTATTGGATATAAATTCAATTCAACGCCATCATCAGATAATATATCCAAATCAACATCCAAATACATTAATGGCAATTGTTGATCAGGCCAACATTTATTGATTAACATGTCATGAAAAACTGATGATTCACAATTTCTCAAAACTTTTTGTTTATTACTTTTATCTGGCCGTAACCACTTTTCTTTACACAATTTAGGGGTTACATCAGATAATTCTTTAGTTGAATTGAGCCTGTTGAAATAAGAATAACTATAATTTTATTTAACTACATAAAAATACAAAACAAAAATCAAACAATATTTACAATTGTAATTGAGAAAGAAGATTTTTGTTATCATTTTCTAATTGAGAGA